GGAGGTAGTTCCAATATTGAAACCTTTGAGAATATTCCTCTCATTACAAAAGTGAATTAATCTACTGAACGCATCGCCCACAATCGTGAAGAGAAAAAGGGAGAGGGGATCCCCTTGTCTTAAGTCCCTTTTGGCCTTTATTTTACCTCTATTTATTTTCGCACTAATATCTCTCTGCACCATGTATTTCTGTTCATCTGCAATCTGTATTTTCTATTTATAGCTAGAGATTTATAATTATTTCTTTCTGTAGATTTAATAGTGGATTTCTTATCCTTTAATGTACGTCAGATTGCAGTATAAACTTTAAATGAAATTACTCTCTTAAAAATAATAGCAGTATTATGGTTGCTCTGTTAGCACCGACATTCGAAGTATTTGAATCTTTATTAACATGCTGATAACCAACTTCTTGTAACTATTTTTTGCAGAGATACATTGCTGGCAGGAGTGGCTTGTCTTCTCAGATATATTCTATTTTCTTATGAAAAGTGGATGTATTGATTTTGTGGACTTTGTGGCCAAGCTGTTCTCGCGTGTAGCAGAGGGAGGTCACCATGTTTTGAGGACAAATCATGTCACTTGGCTGTTTGCACAAATCATTCGGGTTGAAATTGTGATAACTGCTTTGAATTCAGATGCAAGGAAGGTTGTTATTGAATGACGAATTCATTGTCCTTGATATTGTCATGTACTCTTGCCTTTTCTCCTAATAGTTTCTATTCAAAATTAATTATCTGAAGAGTAAACATAATTGACACGCTTCTAACATTTTGAGACATTTTATGTAGTATATCTATTTATTGCACCTGAAAAATATGGCTTTATAGAGTTATCTTATTATTTGTTAATCTACAAGCATATTGTTAATCTGCTTTAGCCATCTTGTGGAATCTAATCCGATTTCCTCGAAATTTGAGAAGTTAAATTTTCATTTTAGATGTATCGAATGAAAAAATTCAATTATATTTGGAAATTTGATTCATCTAATATGTAAGACATAGTGGACGATATTTTCACTGATTCACCTCACGTTTCATTTATGCTTTCAGGTGGAGACGACAAGAAAACTATTATCTTTTCATAGAGAAGATAAAAGCGCTGATCCAAATAATCCTCAAAGCATCCTGCTTGATTTTATTAGTAGTTGTCAAAACTTGCGTATTTGGTCGTTGAACACAATAACAAGAGAATATTTGAATAATGAGCAGCTGCAGAAAGGAAAACAAATAGATGAATGGTGGAGGCAAGCAAGTAAAGGTACATGTTGCATAGTACATGTAAAGTTGTTGAGTCATACTACACAACAAAAAAATTCTTTTTGTTCAATAACATGTGGGGCTGGGTATTAAAATACTGACCAAAAATCTAATTTTGTTTTGGCGCCCTCCTGGTTTAAATGTTATCCTCCTAATCATAATCTTAATGCTCTTTTGGCTAATTGAAAGGCTTTTTTTCCGTTTTCCTTTTTTTCTTATTTTTTTTAATAAAAAAACAACTTCTCTTCTAGCGGTTGGGCAGGGATAATCTTTATTTTTATAAGTTGGAGTCCTTTTTTTCTTTTTCAATTTCTTGGCTTTGGTCGGACATTACTCATCAATAATAATCTTTCCCTTCACAAAAGGAAGTAGAAAAGACAGTAAAACTAGAGAGAGGAATTTGATAACTAAGTTGGCTTCAACAGTTACATATGATAAATAAAGACATTAGTTTGCTCCAACAGCTACAATTTTATATGAATCTTTCTATGGCTGTATTTGGAGGCTCTGTCCTTGTTTTGTACACTGAATTCTTACCATGAAATCTCATTTATATAAACGATTCTTTGCATTTTGTGACACATGTTATTGGTTTCGTCTCCAGGTGATCGCATGATGGATTATATGAACATGGATGACAGATCAATTGGAATGTTTTGGGTTGTCTCATACACCATGGCGCAGCCAGCATGTGAAACTGTGATGAATTGGTTATCTTCTGCTGGGGTTCCAGAACTATCATCAGCACAAAATTTGCAGACCAATGAGAGGATGATGGCTATGCGAGAAGTGAGCCCACTGCCGATGTCTTTATTATCAGGTTTCTCAATGAACTTGTGCTCGAAGCTGGCCCATCAAATGGAAGAATCTTTATTTTCTGGACAGGTACATATAATTTTCTTAATTAAGTCTTACAAGTTTTCATGGGTCTACCTCATCGAAAGCTACCAATAATCACAGGATACTTCACCTGGTGGGTGCCAGTAACCAGTGTTTTCAAGGCGCATCCAGGCACTCGCCTCAGGCGAGGGGCGAGGCGTTTTTGCTGGGGCGCGCCTTAAACGTCGCCGAGGCGAGCGCCTTCAATCGGGCGCTCGCCTTTGCCTCGTGTTGGTGTGCCATCGCCTTAGGCGAGGCGAGCGCCTCTTTGAAGTGAGGCAACCCTCTGTTTTTTTTTAAATAATGTTTAAAACCCACGAAAAAGCGACCCTAAAAACCTAATACCCACACCTGGAAGCCTTCGCTTCCGTCCTTTGCTGCCACCACCGCTTTCGTCCTCGTGTTGTAATGTTTTTTTAGTTTCTCTTTGATTCTATACTCTGCATCGATTCTTTAATTGAGAAGAGGAAAGAACCAAACAATAGAAGAATCAAAATTTGAGAAAAGAAGAATCGAAGAAGAAGAAGAGTTGGAGAAAAAAGAAGAATCAATGTAGAAGTAGAAGAAGAATTGAAGAGAATCGAAAAACCTGAAAATTGAAAATCCTACCGCTTCAAAATTGCCATCTGGTGGCAAAACTTCCAAATGGCAGTAAACACTCACTATTTTTTTACTATTTTTGTTTAAGTTAAAAGTTAATGCATGGTTTAATTTTTTGTTTAATTTAAATACAAATGTTTTCTTATCTTTTTATTTAACCACTATTTACTAAAATTTTTTAGAACTTTATATTTAATTTTCCTAAATGTTGAAGTTAAACTTTGTTTACTAAAATTTTTTAGAACTTTGTATTTAATTTTTCCTAATTGTTTAAGTTAAACTTTATTTACACATTAAATAGCTCTACAAATATTTGCATCTAGAGTATTTTATTCTTTACCTAAAATTACCATAGATAATATTTATTTATTATTTTATTAGGTGCGCCTCGCTTCACTTAGGCCTTGCCTTTTTATCGCCTCTTGCCTTGAGGTGATCAAAGGGCTTGTTGTCTTGAGGAGTGCCTTGTGCCTTGAAAACATTGCCAGTAACAATTATGCAGTTAGATCCTTCCTTGCACAACTATATGTCATCGAAGTCACGCTACTAATCAGTGAATTAGGTTTTGAAGAAAACTATAGGGAAGTATCCTTAATTAATTATGTTGGTTTGCTGTTTTTAACCGAAAAAAAAGGAGAACTATAGGGAAGTAACCAAGTGGAAAAATGAGGGGAGGAGTCAATAGTTGGATTATTTGACATGCATATCGACTTACTCAACCATATTTTGATATGGCTACATACAAATGTCATAATATGTGAATGTATGTGCTATTCAGTAGTTTGAATCCAATATGATGCTATAGAATGCTAAAATGTAGTACAAACTGGATTCATGATCTGTATGAGCTGCATACTTCTCTTACTTTTCCGTATATTGTTTGAGTCAATTATCATGATCTCATGATATAATACTTTCAAGTAGATGCCTACATTTTGTTGTAAGAAGCTTGTGATAGCGTACAAATCAAATACTACTTGTGTTTTATGTACTATTGTCTCTTAACTTTCCTGCATAATGGATGAAGTAATGCAATTTACTATCTTGATGAATATTCAAACTCACCTCTAACATTTACTCCCATTGTTCTTCTGTGTAGGTTGTTCCCAGTATTGCATTGGCTGAAACGTATTGTAGATTGCTTCTTCTTGCACCACACTCATTGTTTCGTTCTCATTTTAGTGTAATTTTCTTTATCTTTTAAAACTTTGTTACTTATGTTATTCTCATCTTTCTGAATAAGCATCGATTAAATGTTTCGCGGATAAAAAAGAAATTTAAGTAATCATGAAATGTACAGAAGGGAGACAAAACTCTCAAGGAGCCTAAAAAAGGACACTCCAGTTAGAGAAAATGTGCCGGATGACCTTGCCCTTATCACGAAAGGGAGGGCACATCAAACTTTCTCCATCATAGAATCGTAGTCTTCGTTTTATGCCAAACAAACACCACATAACTCCAAAGTCCAAACAATAGCCCAGGATTGAAAAAGCAAACTAACAAGAATCTCAATAAGAGTTATTTTTACATATTAATTTTATATTTTTGCTTTTCTTTATAAAAGGGGAAAAACCCCACGTGTGCCTGATAAGATTCAAGTTTCTATGATAGCACCCATCTTCGTTGTTAAGTTAATTGAAAAAAATCTCCAAGTTTGCTTCCAAATTTTTAAAAATGTTTGTCAATCTATGAGCGGTCTGATTTTTGTTACTCATGTAGTAATCTTTGATATTTTGTACTATGTTGTACATCTGTTGCTGAAATTTTGAGATCTCATCAATCTTTACGCTTAGAATAGCTCACTTTCTTTCATGCTCATAAGTGGAGATATTATTTTCCGTTTATGCTTACTTACAATTAACTCACTCTCTACTCCAGCATTTAGCACAAAGAAATCCTTCTCTATTGAGCAAACCCGGTGTTACACTTTTAGTGCTTGAAATTCTGAACTACCGGTTACTTCCTCTTTACAGGTAAATTCTTCTCTTCCTCCCGCCCAAAAAAGGGAAAAAGGAAATCAACATAAAGATAATATGTAGTCGTGTCTGGTAAAAAAAATCTGGTCATATATCAATAACATACATCGCATTTAATAAAGATGTGAAAAAATATGAGGGATTTTATGCCTTACACTGAATATTAATGATACTGAATTGCTTCTAGCTTTCCTTACTGGTGGAGTTTTAAATCTTATATTTGACATGATAATGGATGTTATACATTTTTCAACTCATATTCCTTCCTCCTTATAGGTACCAAGGCAAGAGTAAGGCATTGATGTATGATGTGACAAAAATAATTTCTGCACTTAAAGGAAAGCGTGGAGACCATCGTGTATTTAGATTGGCTGAAAACTTGTGCATGAATCTTATTTTTACATTAAGAGATTTTTTCTTTGTGAAAAGGGAAGGGAAGGTGGGTGCACAAAGTGATCTCAGAGCAGAATTATAAGTTATAATGTGTTTCATTATTATTGTTTTGCTGACTTTGATCTTTCTTTCTGTTTGAAAGGGTCCAACTGAATTTACCGAGACACTAAATCGATTAGCTGTGGTCACTCTTGCTATCCTTATAAAAACACGTGGAATAGCTGATGCTGATCACTTGCTGTATCTTCAGACAATGTTAGAACAGACAATGGCCACCAGCCAACATACTTGGTCAGAAAAAACTCTGCGGTATTTCCCGTCTGTTCTTCGCGAGGCATTGATTGGGAGAATAGATAAGAGAGGTGTAGCTATTCAAGCATGGCAGCAGGTTTGTTATCTCACCATATATTAGCAATTCTTGTAGAACTTTTATTTCCTAAAATTGGCCTCCAAACCCATTTGTATGTACTGAGTTGGTGCTTGTGAAGATATATCAAAATTTTGAAGCTCTTAAAATTACCTGCACCGATGTTGACTCTTAATAGGTCAATCCTTTGGTATCTTCTACAATAGGATATAGATGTTGCAAAAACAGACATATATTGTGTTACATTTAGCATTGTGGATTTTTATGTCGTCCTCCCCTGAGATAGAAAATGAAAAATAGTGAGTTGATACTTCCAACGATCATGTACAGGCAGAAACTACTGTGATTAACCAATGCAACCAACTTCTTTCCCCATCAGCCGATCCTACATATGTCATGACGTACATAAGTCATAGTTTTCCGCAGCATAAACAGTATCTATGTGCTGGTGCATGGATACTTATGCAAGGACACCCTGAAAATATTAACTGCACGACCTTGGTATGAATTTCCATCTTATTCTTTATATATATCTGTAACTTTGTCTGATTTTAATTGCATCCGTGTTATGTTTCTTTCCCTTTCAATTTAAGCACGTGAATTGAGTACCTTCATCTATTTAGATGATCTTAATTTTTTGAGAATGTGTTACGTTTGTTCTTCCCTATCAATTTAGGCACGTGTATTGAGAGAATTTTCACCGGAAGAGGTAACAGCTAATATTTACACAATGGTGGATGTGCTGCTTCATCACATTCAAATTGAACCTCAGCATGGACATTCCACACAGGTTTGTTTATTCTGGGCTAGATTATATGCGCATTCTACTAATCTAATGGAGGATTACCTCCTAGCCCTCCAATGTTTATTATGAGGAACTTCCGTTTCTTGTTAAAAAAAAGGACAACTTATAAGACACTAATATCATTAATAAATAGTCGCTGGAACATGTACCCATGAGCTTAAAAGCACAGGTACAGAATTGGTAGCTTTCAGTCATTAGGCGGCCAACCCATGGTCTTAGCACAATATTACCATTGAGGTCTAAATGATATTATTAAGAAAATAGTTCTAAGGGTTTGGCAGCTCAGATTAAGACTTATTGTAAATGGTTGGTGTTGGTTTATTATTTGTGAATATTAGCTGTAAATCTTAATGGTTATTTCATTCTTATCTCTTTTTCTGTATTGAGTCTTTCTTCTATATACTTTTTATATTTTTTGGAATACAAATATTTTATTCCATCTAAATCAAGTTGGTATCAGAGTAGGAGCTCTTGCGTTCCAACTTTTGCATTGTTGTTTCCTCCTCATTTATATTCATTTCCAGTTCATTTCCAGTTGTTGGGTCTTGTGCAATTTTTCAAGTCCACAAAATGAGGGGAGTTTTT